ACCTGAACACCTTGATTAGCTTGTCCAGCTGGTTTTGGTTAGGTTTGGAGCTGAACTCAGCAGGACTTTGGTCCTGGACTGGAGTTTTGAGCACTGCCCTGTTGAAAAAAACAGCATATGCTGGTTAGGTATGTTCTGACGCTGGGATGCTGGTTTAAGCTGGTCCTTTGCTGGTTTATGCTGGTCCTTTGCTGGTTTATGCTGGTCTTTTGCTGGTTTAAGCTGGTCCTTTGCTGGTTTATGCTGGTCCTTGGTCATTTGCTGGTTTATGCTGGTCCTTTTGCTGGTTTATGCTGGTACTTTGCTGGTTTATGCTGGTCTTTTGCTGGTTTATGCTGGTCTTTTGCTGGTTTATGCTGTCCTTTTGCTGGTTTATGCTGGGCATGTGCTGGTTTATGCTGGTCCTTTTGCTGGTTTATGCTGGGCATGTGCTGGCAAAGGACCAGCATAAACCAGCAAAGGACCAGCTTAAACCAGCATCCCAGCGTCAAAACATACCTAACCAGCATATGCTGTTTTTTTTCAGCAGGGTGAGGTGAGGACAGTGAATGCTGGAGTTATATTGAATATAAAGAATTACAGCTTGGCACTGGCTGTTAGGAATCACCGAATCAACTAATATTAGGTTACAGTAATCAAATGTATCTAAAATGAGTTCCCTAAAATAACAATAAATAAAGTTCCCTAAAATAACAATAGCATGTTACCACTTCTTAATAGTGTATCTTAGATTTGACCATGTTTCCTGTTTATTTATACTAACTAATGAATCCTTCTGGCCTGGAATTTAGGGCTTTGAGCTAATTTCTGTGATTTTCCTGTGCTGTCATTTAAAACAATGAGCCATGATTAAGCAGCCTAGAATGACAGCTGTGTGAGAAAGAGGAATGTAGTCAACCTGTCAACTACCTGGATAATTGCTGTGCCGCGTTAACAGCTAAGACCTAAAAACAGACTGCTACAGTGGTATAAGACCGTAAAGCAGAGCCCAACATTCAATTACTGATGGTCAAATGATAACCTCTGCTATGTGCTCGTCCTCTTCTGTAACGACCCATATCTGTCACCAAGGAGAACGAGCGGTTTTAATCTCTAGTATTAAGCTACATTTAGCAATAAACACACAAACATCTCACAGAGTGGCTGTTTCCTAGTCAGTCACTGCTTCCAAATTCGTGCACTGTTCAGAGTATGTACCGCATTTAATGATAAACTGCTTAGTCATAAATGAAGTATGCTCTATAAGTACTGCAGATGTGCTCTGTGAATACAATACTGCTATAGCAGTACACAGGGTGAGGAGTTTTGTTTTGTGCTGTTTTATTAGTAACATAAACTCTTTACTGATAAACCTGCAGTATGAATGCATGGGGAAAGCTGATGAGCCAGCATATGTGGAGTTTGGATGAACATTAAAGCAGCTTCACTTCAATAATTCTGTGTTTAACACAAAACTTCTCTGTTTCTAATTCATGATTTATTCATGATGCCCTCACTGACATTCACTCACACTCAAACTCACACTCATTCACTCACTCACTCACATTCAAACTCACTCACTCACTCACTCACACACACTCACACACACTCACTCACTCACTCTCTCACACACACACACACACACTCACTCACTCTCTCACACTCAAACTCTCACTCACTCACTCACTCACTCACTCACTCACTCACACACACTCACTTGAAATGAGCAATCTGTGTCAGAATGTCTGTTTTTGTTTTGGTCTGTGTGATTCTGCCCACTGCCAGTTTACCCAATAGGACAGTGGTTCTCAATTCCAGTCTTGGCAACCCCTCGCTCTGCGAAATTTGCATGTCTCTCTTACTTAACACTCCTGATTCAGATCATCAGCTCGTTAGAAGAGAGCTCCATGTATGAACTGTGTTCCCATTGATAGGGTCCCTACACAGTGTTCATTGCTCCCTACTCCCCGAGCATGATAAATTCATTCCACTTCGGACCATTCATTCACAGACTTGCACTACGCCACAATCTGCAGTGTCTTCACACACAGACAAAACTTACTAGAGAAGTCATAATATATCTCTGTAAATAAATACAATTTAAATTCACATCTTGCATAATTGAATGCCCTCTGAATGGGACACATTTGCTCCCTTTGAACTGGAATCACGGCGGAATATCCTGTGAAGTCCACTTCGCAGGGCACTTACGGTCTAATAGAACAAACGTCTGAAGTGATGAGACGCATACAAAATGTGCAGAATGGGGGGTCACGAGGACTGGAATTGAGAACCACTGCAATAGGATTTCCACACCCGGGTTGCCAGTTGGTGAAAAACCATGTATTTTAGCCATGGAAGCCAGCAAACAAACTGAGTCAGAGATTAAAGATTCTACCCCAACCCTCTACATTACCAGTAAATCACTCGCAACTCGACCAAATCTAGCCATTGGCTAATAAATTCTTAGATTTTACTCACCAGTGTGTGTTAGAGGTTAATTATAAATTTAGCGTAGGTATATTTTCACTTGCTGAACACTTACTGAGCGCTTCAGATTTTCACTCTCCATTAAGCGATCTGTACTTTTTAGTTCATCTCAATGGATGCGCAGTGTACTTGTATTTGACGCACCGTAAACTCTAGTGTGAAGGCGCCGTCGCTTTGCTGATAGCGCTGTTTCTCACACGTGCAAAGAGAGCGAGAGAGCGACAGCCTTACACACCACTCTGAATCGACGCGCTACATGTAAACCATATTCTTTGTTGTATTTTCCTGTCAGAATAAAGGAGTTCATTTGGAATTATTCAGCTTTTAAGAACAAGCAGAAGATATACCAGTTTCTCCGGTCGTGGGCGGAGCTAATGCACAAACGGCAATCTCATTGGCTGGCCCTCATCTATTATGGTCCCTGTTTTGATTTCAGCAAATCAGTTCGAGCGAACGCTGACAATGTGAATAAATTCATGAACCCAGCAGCTCATCAATCCTTAGTGCTTTGTATATTGTTAGTATAGTAGTAGAATTAGTAGTAGTATTATCTTTTAATAATATTAACTATTGTCTATTACTATTATCTTTTTTTTATTTTTATTTTTTTACAGAAACTGAATGACCAACAGTCCTAAGTTCAGTTAAAATGACAAATATACATTCATACATGGTTACCAAGTTTTAGTTCTAATAACTAAAGTTTTATCATTAAATAGTGCTTAATTATCATAATATAATGCATGATTGACTGATGTTATGAGTAGGACTGAGTATCGAAAACGGTTCCATTTTAGAACCGGTTCCAAATTTCCAAGAACCGGGTATTCGATAAGACGCGTGCATTTCGATTCTGCTTAACGATTCCTGCGTTCGCATTTTAATGTGATTAAAAACGATTTAAGTGCAGGAACGGAAAGAACTTGCGCCCTGTTTGCGTGCAGCACACACGAAGCGCGAGCGCGAGCACAGAGGTCTGGTACGGGTTCCCGGTTTGTGTTCGTTCCCGAACCGTTCCGTGTATTTCCACTGTAGAAAAGGTTGTTCAGGGCCGAAACTGACTTCTTTCATATTTGTCAACCAAAAAAAAGAAAATCTATATTTTATTTATGAAAAGAAAACTATGCAGCGTTTTTAAACTTTTAATTACAGTTTCTGTACCTGAAATTTTGTTCAGTTGTTCCTATCTTATTACTGACTTGTTTACTTGTCTTTAACACTTTAATATTTGAAATTGATATTAATCTAGATGTTTTTGCTGTGGTATTTTTTTTTAAAAGCATAGGCAAAATTCCTCTTGCAGTGTTCTGTAGGCTGCTGATTTTTGCTCGTGTTATTCAGCTGCAACATAATGATTTGTAAAAAGACAATAAATGTTTGACATCTAAATGTTGGACTTCATTTTTTTTTACATTGGATTTTTTTATCTTATTGGAATCGAAACTAGGAATCGATAAGAATCGAAATCGATAAAATTCAAACGATACCCAACCCTAGTTAAGAGTGTACATTCAGATATTTAAGAAGCTGTGCCATTTAACAAAGAGAAGCTGTGTGTCTGTAAAATAGCGATTAGTCTGGTGAGTAAACTAAAAAGGTACTAGCCAATGGTGATTATATTTCAAAGGTGTGCGTAGAGGGTTGCACCCGACCTAAAAAGCCCCGGCATCCGTCTAAAAAGCTGTGACTAGAGGCATGTTAAAACACGGATAAATCAACACATTAATTTACAGTGTAAGGCTCGTTGCCGTCCATTGTCCTCAATCTGGCAACCTGTGTGAATGTAGAGTCTGAGGGAGAGCATTGGAGAAACAATGCTATCCAGTATTTAGATTTTGGACTTTGGGGGCAGTTCCTGAGCAGTTCGACATGCTCTCAGGAAGCATGCTGAACTGAACTTTTGCCCTTGTAGCGATAAGACTGACTGTTTTGCTTCCTTCAATAATTCCTTCAATTCCTGTTACTATAGCACTAATAGTGTTTTGTTGACACTGGCAAAGCCAACTAAAAATTCACCGATTGCTTTTACTCCGAGGTTAGTTACAGACAAGAATCACCAAACCGCGTCATTGCCTGACTGACTGACTAGTCTAGTCTGATGTGAAAGATTAACTAATCTGTGCATGTGAGCTCAGACTGACGAAAGGCATGTAAACAATGCAGTTCATCTATCACATCATCAGCTCATCACGCACCGCAGCTAATGAAACACACAGATGCTCTCCAGTGTATTAAGACGCTGTGTCCCGTTCCTTCCTCCAGGTGAAGAAAATCGCAGCGGAGTACTACAGAGACCTGCCGTGCTACACGTCATGGGTGAAGGTCCTTTATGACTTTATCATGGACGATGAACTGAGTCCGTACTCCCGCGTGAAGAGACGACTGACCGGAGATGTCAAACAGGAGTGACCGCGACTGGACGACATCTGCCGCTGACCGTTTTAACCTTCGCCTGCTAGAGAGCGAAGCAGCGATTTTTAGCCTTCATTTCAGCTTCTGCGACACAAAGGAAAAGACCATGTTACTTTCAGTTTTTTTTTAGCAAGTGTGCTGTCGAATTTTAATTGTGAACCAAAACGTTTGAGCTCCTCTGTTACACATGGTCTGAACATTCAGACGCTTTTAGTTTTAAGCAATTGTTTTGTTCTGCATTTACTCCTGCGTGGAAGTAGGGATGCTCAATGTTATCGGAATCTGCCGATAAAGGCTTTAAATGTAAACGTCGGCATCGGCCGATAATGTCCAGATAATCTGACTCGCGTGTTTCGGGTTTTGGAGAGGTTCAGTGCAGTGGGTCTTCAAGTACTCAAAAGTGATTAATGCTACTCATCTCATTAATAGACGCCCAAATCTGGTGGTTTGGTGAAGAGGCCTGTGTGTTCAAGCCTCTGTTATACTTCTTTATTTCGTGAATTGACACACCTTGGCTAACAGTGAATGAAGTTTTGAGTGGTCAACATTTATACGTTTTGTATCACGAAACTGAAAAGCCTTAATAAATTTGAGCTGGTGTCTAATGATTGTTACTGTCATCCATCAGAAATATTTGATATGCATTTTAACCCTGAATAGTGGAATTGGAGTACTCTACTGATCAAAGGTTTAGACAATTGACAACTTGTTCATTTGGGAAATAAGACGATTTATATTTGTATGCAAAAAAAACAATTTCAAGCAGGTCGTTATATATAGGTTTAATAAGAAATAAAAGTTTTAAGTGTGTCAAATCCTTGGACTAGTAGTGCATATATATACACACAAGATCTTTCTCAAACCTCTCAAAGATTGCTGGTGCTTCAGTTCATGATGGATCAGTCAGGGATACATTTGAATGATAGTCATTCTGGAAGAAAAACACTGAACTACAATGTTGTGTTTTCTGTTAAGGGTCTGTTCCGTTCCAAAAACACAACAGGTAAAAATCTATAAAACTAAAGTTCAGTCTACATGTACAAAAAAAAAACTTAACGCGTCATGTAATGTTTGTTAAAACACTGAAACAGTTTCTAATATACACTTTATTGCATATGAAATGTTTGATCATGTAAAAAAAATGCTGAAATCTCCCCTGAACGAAGACAAATGCACAAAACAATGATCAGGAGAAAACTCTCAAACAGTTTATCATCTTTTTTATTCTTAGTAATAAAAATGGAATCCAAATGTAGATTTCTGATCAACGGTTGTCATCTTGTGAGGGTCTCTTTCAGTTTTTCATACATTATCTGGTCCTGCAAAGAGGAAAATAAAAACCCAGGATTGAAAATCACACCCACTCTTCACACAGCTAAAGGATTTCTCATGCATTCTGTTCAGAGCGCCTTCATAATGAATGTAAAGAGCCACTTACTTAAAAGAAAATTCAAGAAAAAGTCAGTGATGATAATACCGCCCCCTCACAGTAACTACACCAACAAAATCAGCTGGTTTTTAGTGTGCATTTTGTAGCTAATGCAATTTATTACAATTGAATCAAAGCATAGTCCAGCCAATCACCTCTTTGGCTAAATGTGTAGGGTGAGGTTGGCTTATTCTTGTCACTCACCTTCTTGGACACAGACGGTCGCACCTTCTTGAAGGCGTCTTCGAAGTGAATTCGGCTCACTCGGATGTCCTTCACCGGCTCTGTAACATTAAAGACATGCTGTTGTGTCAGATGCAGATCTCCTGTAGTGTTTGTGACGAGATGATGGCGTGTGTGTTACCTGTGTGTGCTTGAGCTGGTCGTGAGCTCAGGTGAACTCGCAGAGCGTTAACACACGCCTCTCGCACCAGCGCCGACAGATCTGCACCTCTGAACAACACAATCAACACCCTTCAGCCTATGGAATCAAAATCTACTGAACAAAAAAAGAATCATCTGGCGTTTCTTAAAAGATGCGATGTTGGAGAAATTTTGTATATCAACAAACTCGTATAACTAGTTCAGTGGTTCCCAACCCTGGTCCTTGAGGCACCCCAACACTGCACATTTTGCATGTCTTCTTTCTCTGACACCAATTTCAGGTTTTGGAGTCTCTACTAATGAGCTGATGACCTGAATCAGGTGTTTGATTAAGGAGACATGCAAAACGTGCAGTGTTGGGGTGCCTCCAGGACCAGGGTTGGGAACCACTGAGCCAAGTATCGCCAGTAACCTCATCAATACGTACATAACACAATGCATTACGATGGCACAACTGAAACTGCAGCACATGCGTGAGAAAAACACAGCATGGGAAAGAGGGAATCTGCAGGTTCGGTTTCAGTATGTCTGATGCCTTACAGAAGAAATACGCTTATTTAGAGGACCTGCTTCTTCATTGTTGTGATGCAGAACATGTGAAAGCAGAAATGAATACAAGGATTTGAGTGGGAAAATTATATAATTATATTGTATGAGCACCGCTTGAATAACAATTTACAAACTTACGTAAAACTCTCACAACGTGCATCATGGGCAATTTCCTCGAGATTGACATCTGAATCTAGAAGTGGTTTGGTGCCGTTCTGAAACATGAAAGAACTTGAGTCAATCAATCCAGAGGTGACCCATATATCACCTCATTGATCATGTTGATAAGTTTGGTTGTATGGCGTTTACCTTAGTAATCGTGACCAATATGGCGTGTCTGTCTGCGGGAGGCGGTAAACCCACATACAGAGTTTTGTCCAGTCGTCCTGGTCTGAGTACAGCGGGGTCAATGATATCTACAAACAGCCATGAAGTCATAAACGCATTACAGACATCCAAAATCATCACAAACATGTCAATATAACTCTCGTCACCTGGCCTGTTGGTGGCGGCCATCATGAAAACCTGCTGGCGGTTCCCCATGCCGTCCATCTCGGTGAGCAGCTGGTTTACGACGCGAGCGCTGGCTCCTGACTGACAGCAGACACACAGCAGCGTTACGAGCTGGCTCAGAGTTCAGAGACCAGATAACTCGTGAAGTGTGATGATCGCTCTCACCTCATGCTCGGAGCGGCGAGGACAAAGTGCATCGATCTCATCGAAGAAGATGACGCACGGCGCTGAGTTCCTGCCCCTCTGGAAGACCTGTCTGACGGCCCGCTCGCTCTCACCCACATACTGCAAACACAACAATCCTCATGGGTAGGGTTGGGTACCGAAACACATCGATTAGCGATGGATTATAAATATACTTAATTATGAAAATACCAGATGGCTTGAATAACACAGATAAACTATATTGTCGCAGTCGAGTGTTTATTATCTTTGTTTTATCATTCTAGATGTTTGTCCATATAAGGGATTTCCTGGAGGGTCGTGAGTTTCTACTTCTGTGACTCTCATTCCCATAATTGAAAAAAGTGAAAAACAATTCTCGTAACGGTTATGCAAAAAATACCTAATATTTATATCTTGAAGTATTTACATGCCATGGTAATATTTGTCATGATTCTTGGTTTATTTTGCAATTTAAAAATGGTCTTTTTTGTGGGCTTTATGCAAAGTATAAGCCATTTTGATTTTGGGTTGAAATGAGACCTGGAGATGTTATAGACATACCATGGACTGTATAAAAGCATGTCCGTGACGTCACCAGAAGGTTTCTGAAGAGCGTTTTTGAAGCCTAAAATAGGCGGAGCCGGCCGTCGCCATCTTGGCAGCGCGTCACCGCGTGTCACTCCCGGATAATCGAAAATGGGCAAAGAGGCGGGAGCAGGTTGCTGAAACCACGCCCACCTAGCTCGACGTTGGTGACAGCAGCGGCAATCCACCCGTCACTCAAGTGGCCACGCCCTTAATTATGCGGATGAGTTATAAAAAAAATGTACCCCCTCACAGTTGTCATGAAGGGCAAAATTAGCTATAAAGAGTTGGGTATTTTAACATGGGGAGTCTATGGGACTGACTCTCTTTTGCAGCCAACCTCTAGCGGCCAGTCGATGAATTACAGTTTAAGTCACTTCCGTGTTGGTTTCACGAGAGAGAGCAGGAGGTTGCCGCTTGAGACATACAGAAGACGGACAACAGTACTGCTGACGTATGATGATGGATTGTGAGTTTGTATGACGGCAGCGGAAAAACTCACCATATTGAGCAGCTCTGGACCCTTGACAGAGATGAAGTTTAAGCCTGACTCATTAGCAACAGCCTGTAACGAGAGAGAGAGAGAGAGAGAGAGAGAGAAGTTTCACAAGCCAGTGAAGAATACAGGAAGCAAATGCAGCCACGTCCTTAAAGGGACAGTTCACCCAAAAATGAAAACCCTGTCATCATGTACTCAGCCTCAAGTTGTTCCAAACCTGTCCGAGTTTCTTCTGCTGAACACAAAATAACGTGGGCAACCGAGCAGCTCATGGTCCCCCCACTGACTTCAAAAGTATTTTTTTCCCCATACTATGAAAGTCAACGGGGACCAGCAACTTAAAAACATTTAAAACATCATTTTTAAAAATGTATTCATATTCATGATGCATCATAAATGTTTCTCGATCACAGAGCTTGTTTTCTGCAAGAATCCAAAAGCCAATGGAAAATCCTGTTTTGCTTTTGTTGAGAAAACCAGGGTAATGTGAAATTAGAGGTCAGCCGTCAAACATCCGTCAACACTGAGGCACTCTACTGACTCACAGTTGCTCAGGACAAAAACAATCCTTTACATGGCAGAGAAACACTTCATCTGGTTAGGACATGGTGTACATGCATAACGTGGGAACACAGCTCTAAACAAAAGCTCACACACTTTGGCTAACAGGGTCTTTCCGCATCCGGGCGGTCCAGCGAGCAGCACTCCAGCAGGCGTGTTCAGACCCAGAGCTCGGAAATGCTCGGGGTTATTGATGGGAGCCTGCAAACGTACAAACAAAGACCACAACATCACCTTTAAACGAAGAAACGAGAAACTGAAGTATTACTGATACAGTACAGGACCAAACAACACTGTAAAAGTTGCGTTACCATGATGGCCATGTTGAGCTCCTCACGAATGTCCTGCAGCGCGCCCACGTCTTCCCAGGTGACGTCCGGGACAGTGGCGAACCCCTCGCGCTTCGCAGACGGCTGGACTCTGGCTAACGAGGTCCTGAAGTCTGACATGAGCACACAGAGTCCAGAGAGCTGCTCCTCGCTCAGAGCCTCGTTCCTCTTCAACAACGACAGCAGCTGCTCCAGATCTGCTTTCTGACAGCAAGACGAACTTCAACAGCTGAACACCACAGTGACTTGTGCTCTACTGCGGTGGATTATTTGTGATCGAGCTAACACTGAGCGTTTGACCGAAGCAAAAGACAATTCAACACAAAATGGTCAAATGGAATTTGTTTTCTTGAATGTTAACAGAATAATGAACCCAAAAACAAAAAGTTTATCAATTTACATCTTGTGAAGCCAAAAGCTGCAAGTTTGTAAAAAACAAATCCAGCATTAAGATGTTTTTAGCTAAAATACGAGTCCATAATAACGCTTCCTCCAGTGTAAAAGTGGTCTGGTCTGAATCAGGAGAGAAATCAAGCAGCGTTTACAAGCCAAAATGGCTCTAAACAAATATGTGGCTGGATTCTGATGTGAGAGACAACAAGAGATGGACTTTTTCACTGGAGGAAGCGTTATGGATTATGGATTTATATTTTAGTTAAAAACTTCTTAATGCTGGATTAGTTTCAGCTTTTGTCTTCTCCAGATGTTAACTGATGGACTGGAGTGCTGTGGATTACTTGTGGATTATTGTGATGTTTTTATCAGCTGTTTGGACTCTCATTCTGACGGCACCCATTCACTGCAGAGCATCCATTGCTGAGACACTGATGCAATGCTACATTTCTCCAAATCTGATGAACAAACAAACTCATCCTAATTTCAGAAGAGCACACTTTCAGCAAATTTTCATTTTTGTTTGAACTATTCCTATAAGTATGTCAAAAAAGGGGGAAGTCGTGGCCTAATGAGGTTAGAGTCGGACTCGTAACCCAAAGGTTGCGGGTTCGAGTCTCGTACCGGCAGGGATTGTAGGTGGGGGGGGGGAATGTACAGCACTCTCTCCCACCTTCAATACCATGACTGAGGTGCCCTTGAGCAAGGCACTGAACCCCCAACTGCTCCCCGGGCACCGCAGCATAAATGGCTGCCCACTGCTCCGGGTGTGTGTTCACGGTGTGCATGCTCACTGCTGTGTGTGCACTTTGGATGGGTTAAATGCAGAGCACTAATTCCACTAATTAAGACACGTCACGTCACATATAAAATATTTGCATGGAAAGCAAGTATAGTTGATGTACTAGAAGCATTCATGAACATACTGGATGGATGCATGTGTGTGTAAAGGCCCTTTCAATTTCAGAAGAGCACACTTTCAGCAAATTTTCATTTTTGTTTGAACTATTCCTATAAGTACGTCAAAAAAGGGGGAAGTCGTGGCCTAATGAGGTTAGAGTCGGACTCATAACCCAAAGGTTGCGGGTTCGAGTCTCGTACCGGCAGGGATTGTAGGTGGGGGGAGTGAATGTACAGCACTCTCTCCCACCTTCAATACCATGACTGAGGTGCCCTTGAGCAAGGCACTGAACCCCCAACTGCTCCCCGGGCACCGCAGCATAAATGGCTGCCCACTGCTCCGGGTGTGTGTTCACGGTGTGCATGCTCACTGCTGTGTGTGCACTTTGGATGGGTTAAATGCAGAGCACTAATTCCACTAATTAAGACACGTCACGTCACATATAAAATATTTGCATGGAAAGCAAGTATAGTTGATGTACTAGAAGCATTCATGAACATACTGGATGGATGCATGTGTGTGTAAAGGCCCTTTCACACCAAATATGTTGCCAAAAGCCACAAAACAAAATGCAGAAGAAATGGTCAATGCCAGTGTCATTATTCAAATTACCAATTGTTTGGCTAGATAAGACCCTTATTCCTCGGCTGGGATCGTGGAGAGCCCTTTGAAGCTGCACTGATACTGTGATTTGGACCTTCAGCCCGTTAGTCCCCATTGAAGCCCATTAAAAGTGGAAAAATCCTTGAATGTTTTGCTCAAACACCTTCATTCCTTTGCGACTGAAGACATGAAGACATGAACATCTTGGATGATACGGGGGTGAGTAAATCATCAGGACATTTTTATTCTGTAAGTGAACTAATCCTTTAATATCAAAGTGTTCATAACTTGCAAGAAAAGTCATTTTTGGGCTTCTCGTGTCTAATATGTGTGGCGTTTAAGGGCTGCAGTTACATCCCACTTCAAATAGACATAAAAGGTAAAACAAGGATTTTGAAGTTGGAGGAGAAAATTAGATGGGGTTTTCTCCCTATCTTTCCTTTCTGAACCGGAGTACACAGACGAAGAACTAACCACGCGTGACCTTTCCAATGTGATTGCATAATGTGTGAAGTCATAGACGCGCATCGCAGAGCTAGTGCAAGATGAGCACTTTTGGTTAAAAGTATATACATTTTTATTTTTTTAGAAAATGACAGATCCTTTCGCTAAATAAGACCGTTATTCCTCGGCTGGGATCGTGTAGAGCCCTTTGAAGCTGCACTGAAACTGGATTTGGACCTTCAGCCCGTTAGTCCCCATTGAAGCCCATTAAAAGTGGAAAAATCCTTGAATGTTTTGCTCAAACACCTTCATTCCTTTGCGACTGAAGACATGAAGACATGAACATCTTGGATGACACGGGGGTGAGTAAATCATCAGGACATTTTTATTCTGTAAGTGAACTAATCCTTTAATATCAAAGTGTTCATAACTTGCAAGAAAAGTCATTTTTGGGCTTCTCGTGATTTTAATCAATATTCATTTTGGGGAAAACATTCTTAAATTCTCAAGCAATCTTTTTAGTCTGTGCTGTTTACAGTTGATGCATGAACAAAACGTCAATAAACATTGCTTGTAACACACCTGCCATCCAATAATTGCAATGAGTTTTGTGCTTTCTTAGTTCGGATATGAAACAAAGTCTCAGCTTTCAAAATCTTTACAAAAAAAAATACATTTAAAATTGCGGCGCACAGAGGCATGTGAATGTCATCTCTTCCTCTTTACTACTAGTTACAGCAGCAAATAAACATGAATGAATCATTAAATATAAAAATGTGTACAATTTAAATGTTTGTATAGACCCTTTTAGTGCCGACGTCACAGCGCTAGCTGGAGGCAAAACTGGAGGCGGCCAATTCAAACCAGCAGAGGTTCGGCTACATAAGGAGCTTAAAATATCATCTTGTTGTGATGTTGGGTGCCAGACTCGACGGAGTACAGGCTCCAATTTGACATTTGATCGCATATCTGCTGCCACTGCCAGACAAAAAACCGACGACAGCTGTGGTTAAACGTGATAAAACGAGCAGACTGGACAGAGACGATTGTCAAAAATGCTCACGTTTGTAGCGCACACTTCTTATCAGAAAAGGTTAAATAAAGTATCGTCTTTTGTTGTTATGGATTATGGTTTGTGTTGCGCGATTTCTTATGCATCTCACAACATGCAAGAGTAGCCTATATCGTGTATTAAAGTCCGTGTGCATGTGTGTTAAACAACAAACTGACGATTTATATGCTTAATCATCTGAAATAGTAATAACATTGTGATTGATTGTGGCTGGAATTTTTAAGAACTTGGTAAGAAAGAATAATGAAATACAGAAAGTTTTTTTTTCTTTATTTCAGCCTGAATAAGTCTCCAGTAGGCGGAGATAATGCAGGCTCCGACGTCACAAGCCAAAATCTCCGGTTTTGCTGTCTACATGATAACACTGCAACCAGAGTTTTTGAAAATCTTCAAAAATGTTTGGTTTCAGTGACCTGGTGCTGCGTTTGTGTGTGGACAAATGGCCAAACCGCATAGAAAAAGTTGCAGTTTTAAAAATAACCGTGTTTGTGTGGACAGGGCCTTGAGTCACAGAGGTAATCCTGTGTACAGTACCCGGTACTTTTTCAGTACCACCTCGGCTGAGGCTCCAGTGGCGCTTTTCCACTGCACGGTACGGCTCGGTACGGTTCACTTTTGGGGGGTTTTCCACTGGGTACAGTACCTGGTACCTGGTACGTTTTTCAGTACCACCTTGGTTGAGGCTCCAAGTGAGTTGTACCGTTACGAAAACGTGACGTGTAAACTCTGCTGATCACGGATTGGCCGGAGAGAATCGTCACTACCTGCGTCACTGGGCTGAGTCGAAATTCGATGGCTGGGAAGCAATGACCTCTTGGCAAGATTGACCCTGAGTCCCAGGCACCCCAGCAGGGTTCGTACACATTTTTACCAATAAATTTCCATGACTTTTGAGACAATATTCATGACCTAAATGTTCCATTATTTTACAATAAAAATACAAATTAATGACTATTAATGCTACTCGTTTGCTTTCTTGTTTTAGTAATAAGTACAAGCTGCAACTGCGCCAGACCTTACTCCACATTTCACATCACTGAATATTATCATTTATTTAACTGTGTGGCCAGGATGGCCATTTTGGTGTCATTTTGTGTGTATTTTTGCTGCTTAAATGCAACAAGCTGCGCTTTAGAGCCCTGCATTTCAGCCCAAGCCCAACGGCCCCAACTTATTTATGGCTTCGGGACAATTTTCACATCATAGCTCAGACACGGGCCAGGCATCAGGCTTGCTTCCTCCTTATGTTT